CAGCCGTCCTGCATCCACGTCAGGATGCTGGCCAAGAGAGGCCCTGGAAGCTGAGGCAGCTGATTTGAAGCTTTTGCAGGTGCCCACAGGTCAAGACCAACAGTGTTCCCTCAGGATACAGCATTCCTGAGGGGCTTCCCCTGAGCTGCCTGATGCCACCCACTCCTTGTAGCACCAGTTGCTTTCCTGTGGAAGGTTCTACCTTCCCCAAGAGCACAGAGGGAGCTGGAGAAAGAGCTTGCCAGGCTGCTCTCCTTTACCAGCACTCCTGGTTAAGTGGAGAAGTCCAAGCTGAGCACAGATGTGCCAATGGAGGAGCCATGCACGGGAAGGCTCGGTGGGAAGGATGATCCAGGATCCAAAGGCCTGGCAGTCTGAGCTTGCTGCCGGGGAAGGCCTTGGAGCAGATCCTCCTGAGTGCCATCCCATGGCATGTCAGGGAACCAGGGGGTTTGCTGGAGGGAGGGAAACTCTGCGGAGGGACGGGGACAGCTGGGGGTCCTGGCAGGCTGTTGAGAGCCTTGGTGCGGTGTTTGCCGGGTGTTGGTGTTGGAGGTGTGTTGGGGAAGGAGTTGTCTGGGAAGTGAGAGGTCTAGGTTGGAATTTGAGTTTGTTTGAAGGCAGCATCTGTGGTTTGGTACAGCTTTACTTATGGGGCGCAGAAAAAATATCTGTGACTGTTTCTGTTTATGGTCCTGATTGTGCTGCAGGGAACAAGAGGGGAGAGCTGTACTTTATTGGCCACTCAGATCTCTATACCGGGGCAGGGTTAGCCATTTTGCCATCTGCTCATTGTTGCCAGAAGTTGCTCCAGGTGCTCCTGCCAACAGCCCCTGCAGGCAGGAGCACAGCCCCCAGTGCACGTGGCTGTGGCCCCCTCTGGCACAGAAGCCCCCAGGGGCACAGGTCTCTGGGGCAGGAGACGGGCACCAGCCCTGCCAGGGCTCGGGGGCTGGCAGGTCCGCTTGGGCAGGGACTCTGCCACAGCTGCTGGTGTCAGCGTTCCCAGGCCCCAGGGCTCAGAGCAGCATTCCTGCCCTGGCCCACAGCTCCTTGTGTGTACCACACCCACAGGTTTAGGATGGCCACGGGCCGGGACGTGTCCCAAGGAGGCCGTGGCAGCTTCGGTGGAAGGCCCTGTGCCCTTCCCGGCGCGGCTGCGTCGGCAGCCCTGGGGGCTCCTTCTGCTGCCCTGAGCCCGCAGAGCAGGGCAGCGTTTGCTGATGGTCTGAGCCCTTCCTAAAGATCCTGTTGGGCTGTCTCAGACACTTGGGTCCAGGGATTCCTGCCAACCTGGGCCACTGTGGCTGGACAGGGGGTGGCCCCAGGGCAGGTGGCAGTGTGTGCAAAGGGCCCCTTTGTGACATGGTGCAGCACGGTCACTATGGCATAGACTGGGGACAGGATGGCCTTTTTGACACGTGCTGACATAGGAGCTGGCAGTGACCAGAGCACGCCACAGTGCTCGGAGCAGGCAACCAGACAGGATGGGACAGAGCAGTGCCATGAGGAATCCCCGCACTCTCTGCTCATTCATATCTGACCCGGAGCTTCTCTGAGGCTTTAGTCCTACAGGTGAGCTCGTGGCAAGACCTCAGGACTTGGCAGCCCATGGCCTTCCCGAGGCTTATCTTTTGTGGGTGCCCTTGAGGACTTGTTGACTTGGAGCTTTCCCAAGCCATCTGTCTAGAAGGTGCCCTCAAGGCAAGACTCTGGCATGGCAGACAGATTTCTCAGCTTGTTCAAAGTGTTCAGGGAGAAAAAAAAGAAAAGCCCTGAAGCTGCTCCAGCACAACAGCGTGAAAAACTTGAGCAGTTCAAGCCACTGCAGGACGGTGAGTGGCAGAGCTGGGCCACAGGGCTGATGCCTCCAGCCAGCTTGGCCCCATCCCATCCCATCCCATCCCATCCCATCCCATCCC